GAAAACATCAACCTTGGAGCTGGAGCTGAGGGCCCCTTGTTAAGGAAGTCCTTCCAACTCAGAATTACCTACTTCTGAACTCTAACATGGGAGGAAAATAAACCACTACCTTTTTGAAACCATTTTTGGGAAGGGGCAGGACTGCCTATATGACAGCGATTTATCTGGTCTTGCAGCCCCCTGCCTGCCCCTCAGAGCAGAGCGCATGATACAAATATGTCCAGCTGTCCTGCAGGCAGAATCATCACTGTCTTCAAGGCAAGGACCTCATGCAGCTCTTGGAAGTATCTGGAATGGAGTAGATGGCATGTCTTTTGTTTGTTAGTTTCTACCCCATTACGTAAAGAAGAGGAAATGCTTTTAAAATACCAACGAAGAAGCTTCATCTTCTGACATTTCTTTTATTAGTTATTTTGTCAGCTATGAAGACATGCAAAATAGATTTTTAAAATAGGTAGAACCTATTCGCCTCCTTTACACAGCCATGCATGTGTTCAGTGGCCCAGAAGGCAGCGTCTGACATGTTCCATTTTCACTACCACCTTACCCAGGATAAGGGAAACTGTTTAGACATTTTAATTCTTTCCAGAAGCAAGGACTATGATTGCAGCTTCCTCTTATATCTCTTTACAGAGCCACAGTCAAAGGCAACATATACTTAATGCTCAGGCCCACCTAAATGACTGAAACCTGCTTGCTAAGTCTGTCAGTCTCTTGCTACTATAATACATGTGGTAGACTCATTTTATTGGTAGACTCATTTCTTTGCCCTAATAAATACACTTATTTTATCTTGCACCATATTACATTTTTATAAGCCATCTTTTGGAGCAAGAAGAGGTATAAAAAATTAATGTGGTACTGGATATGGTTCGCATATCTCATTTGATTTTGACGACAGTCTGGTAAGAGAAGACCAGCCCCCCATGATAGGTGAGGACACTGTGGCTTAGACAGGTGACTTGTCCAAGGTCACACTGAAAGTGAGCGACAGAGACCGGTATATAACCATATAAACAGTATATAACCATCACTGGCTGCCTCCGTTAAGGGACCAGTATAGAACCTATAAGGTGTTAACAAATTTTAAGTCAACTTGACACTGTTAAGCAAATCTGTTAAAAAGAGTTTTGAAATATGAATACCTATTTCTGTGGTGCTGAGTAGTAGAAAGGGTGATTTCAGAAAATGTCAGAAATTTTTAAAGGACCAAAACATATCTTTATTCATCTGCTAGGAGTTAAAAATGTACTGCAGCATTGTTTCCAGAAAACTGTCCAGCAGTTTGGTCATGGCAACATATGAAAAACAGAAGTTGATTAAACTCACTTTAAAGCTATTTACCTGCAATTTGTCTCAAATTCAAGTGTAATCTAGATTCATTATCTTGCTCCTTCTGTCTGGGAAGTGAGAGTGCCGAGTACAGGTCTGGTAACTGGGAAAAAAGGAATTAGGAAAGATGTGTGGACCCAGGAAATCCAATCCTGTGTATCTGTAGGATGTTTTATCGCTGACTCAAGGATAGTCAGTGGCCCGGCCCAACAAAGAGGTAGGCAGAGGGAGGAGGATTTCGATCTGGCTTCCCTTGGTACCTGCTGGAGAGACGAAACACAGCTCTTCTGCTCTTGTTCCTTTATTACAGCCCAGGGCCTCCCCGGGGCCTAAGGGTGCCTTTTGGCAGGACTTCCCTGATCTGCCAGAATATTTTGCCAGCTTCCCTGTTTCCCATCTTATAGTAATGAAGAAAAGGGCCCCATGAATCCAGCAGGATGAGTTTCAGCAAATCACCAAGGGAGTTGTCACAATTTTTCCCAGATCCCTTTGCCTACGTAGAAACCATCATTTTAGTCAAGACATTAAAGGAAAAAATAGGCAGGCAGCCAGTTATGCATCTGCATCAGTAGTACAATCCCTGCCTCCCAGATTGTGGGAAAAGAAAATCGGGTGGAAAAAAATAGGCTCTCAAGATTTTTTGAACCCTTGTCTCAGAACCTTCGATATAAAATGAGAAAGATGAATACCTTTAATTGGTTTACAAGGTTGAAAATGGTTGTTTTTGTAGTCTGAGTTTTATTTTAACCATTACACAGTGAAACCTAAATTTGGAAAGTTGACAGGGCCCACCACCAAGCCCCCACAGCCTTGCAGTTTCAGTCGAAAGGAGGTCACCATGCAATGCAGTGCCTCTTTCTGCATGTGTTTTCAGAAGATAGATCTGGGGTATAGCAGCATCTGAACATTTGCATGTCAAGTGTGTAAATGCTTTGGAAACCTCAGAGGGAAAGTCCCTGACACACCTGGCAAGCCTGGAACCTGATCTCTCCTTCTTCCTCGCTGCTTCACATTGCACTGACATGGTGCACAGGGGAGACTCACAAAGAAGAAAAAAAAACCCACAGCTTGAGAATTTCAACTCCTTGTTCAAGTAATAGTCAACAAAAGCTGGCAAACTTGCCTATAGACCCACATATTTCTAAAGCCATCCTTAGACTTTCTCAGAGGGCACAAGCACACGACTAGCTTTTTCAATGCAGATGTTTGGTTAGAAGTATTTAATCATATCACCCAAAATTTTTGTGCTTGGAACTTATACACACAGGATGCTTTACTTTTCTTCGAAGCCATTCAACCTAAAAGATTTCCAAGGATGTCGCATATCACCTTTTGCTACTTGTGCCATGAGGGCCAACTGGCTCAGTCTCATTGCCTAGAGAAGCAGAGAAAGAGAGAAATTTTTAGCAAATATGTAAGCTCCCAAAATCAACTGTATTGGTCTGGTGCTGAACAAATTAAGTAGTGTCCTCATTCAGAACACTAAAGTGGTATACCCCTTCAATCAAACGATTCTCAAAGAGATGTCAGTTCAATTTTGAGCAAATCACCCTCTGGACATGGGGGAATCCAGTTCACTATTTAACACCTAATTCATCTCCATCGACCTTTCATGTTGTCCTCTCCCCCACCATGATTTCAGTATTGTCTCTGTTTTGTTTGTTAATGTAACTTGGAATGTTCACTCTTAGGGTTACCTGTGTAAGCTTGCCTCATTCGTGTGAATGGTTTGCAAGAAAACATAAGTGGAGTGTGGAAGTTCCGAGCCTCACGTGTCCTTTCGGAATGCCGTGCTTCAAGTGAATTCTATTTGTTGATAACATTGACTTCCCCGAAAGCCAAGTCACCATCCCATATCACCTTTGTGAAATCCCAGCCAACCATGCACATACACACGCACCTTTTCATGGTGAACTTTAAGTTTCAAATAATCTTCAGATCATGCTTGGGTTCAAATTTTTCCCTTTGCTTATTAGCAATAACTACAGGGTCTTAAAGAAGTATTAGCACTCACACCTATAATAATCATCTTTCTCCCTACTTCCTCATACGAACACTGACAGTATTAACACTACAAAGAGATTCAGACTTTAGAGTCACGCATATCTTTTAAGATTCCTGGGCCTTTTATGCTTTCATTTTGCCTGAAGTCCTTTCTGGAACAAACTTGGGGATAAAGAAAATGTTGGAACAAAGAAACACGTGTGTCTTTATTTGAACTTTTTCTATTATTCAAGAAATAGACATTACTTAAATTATGACATACTGGGTGCTCAGGATACAAGTAAATAATGCCAAGTGAATGCTACTGCGGATACCACAGCCCTTTATGACCTTTCTGACATTGTCATTGACCATATATCTGTATAATGGTGTCTTTCATCGTAGATATATTTGATTAAAAAAAAACAGACAAAATGAAATCGAGGCATGTTTTCAGATATTATTTTTTGTGTTTAAAATATTTGGATCCTCACACTCAGCTTGTGGTGTCTGACAATAAATCAGCCTTTTATCTGGAAAGAAACCAGGTGAAACATTCTTGTAGACCACAATATTTTGACCAAAAAGAAAAAAATGAGTCTCCCTTTCTTCAATTTTTTTTTTTTCACATTGAAGGGACTTTTCCAAGTGAAAGTTTTCAAATGAGTTTCTTCAGATCAGTTCACCCCTAAAAAGCTTTGGTTGGTAATTAAAGGACAGTCCCACACTACCTTACCTTTTAGCCTCCCACTCACCTCTACCTCACACAGCAGGTGTGTGACTTTGAATTTTGATTTCGATGAAACAGATCATGTAGGCTGGGACCACAGAGTTAAACAAAGTTAGTGGAAACCCTTTTGAAAACTGGAAATGTTCTTCCGAAATATGACTATTTCTCCCTACTTACAGACTGCAGCTATCTGGCTACTGGATTTTTTAAAGTCAGCCTATATCTGGTGAGAAGCAATTAGGATGGGGGTGGCAGGGAGGAAGATGCTCAATGCTGCAGTGTTCGTGAAAGAATGTCCAACATCTCTCGTCAAAACAAACTTACGAAGACCTGTGACAGTTGTTATCCTGACTTCTTTGGTCATATGGGAAATATTGACCCTTTCATTAGCATCATTTTTTAATTACATCAGTATTTCTATTTTTAAAAAAAATAAGTTCTTAATGCAGCAGAGCCTGGAAATAGAATCATTAGATCAACCTCACAGACAAAGTGGAAACAAGCATTTGTGGGAATACAGAATTTCTGGAAAGCTATTATTTGATTGAAAAATAGCACTTGGTGCCCTGGCAAAAACACAACAAAGCCAAAAATCAACTCTGCCATTGTTTGTGTGCTATTTTTTTCAATTATGCTTTTATTTGTCCATGTTCATGTTTCATTTTACCTAAATAAGAAAAATCTTAATACATTTATGTCTGAATTCTAGAAATCTTCCACTAAGGTTCCTGGTCCAGTTTCTGCAATGGCTGTAATTTGTAAAATCTAGTAGAAATAGCATGTGATTCTATTGAGCTTCCGTCTGAAGAATTGTTTTAGCAGGAATTTTATATGCAAGACTAAATGATGATCAACAGAGCATAATATTGTATTCTGAAGTGTGCTAGTGAAAGTCAAATTAATTCTTTTTTTTCTTCTTCTTCTTCTTCCCTTCTCCTGAAATTTTCTGCCATAGCGACTGCATTTGCCTCCAGACTTGTCAGACACCGTGAGCCGCTCAAGCAAACAAGATCTGGCAGAATCTGCCAAGCTGCTGGGCCCAGGCTGTGGCACGATGGCCGGAGGCAAGAAGCACCTGGACTTCTAGCAATTTCTCCTTAGTTGTTGCTTGCAGGATTATATGACACTCTAATTATGATTGCTAATAGCTTATGTAAATATTTTTCTTAACGATTTGACCCTCCAGTCCTTGAAAAACACAGGATTGCAAAATGAGGCCACTGTTCATTTTTTGAACCAACTTTTTATAAAGAAATAATACCATAGACATGCTTTCATTTTAAAATTTGTGTTATGCTGTCACTGAATAAAACAGATCATTTTATTTTAAAATAAAAGCAAATGTCAGAAGTTCAAGATGCCTTTCAGTTGTCACTACTCTACCTGTATTGAGGGACTTAATGTATTGAGGGAGAGTACATGATACAACAGAAAGCATATAAAACATGAAGTTCAAAATTATATATCAAAAATATACTTTCTTTTTATTTCTGAAAAAGTCTCTTGCCTCAAAAATGCTAAGGTTTTTTTAATGAAAAATCCACTTGTCTATTATATGAAGACTAACTATAGTAGATTTGCATGTATACATCCTGTTATTAAATTTGTGAAGTAATATTTTGAGATTGACTTCATTGAAGATAATTAGTATGCCACAGTCATTAGTAAACATAAAGAACTTGACTGATAGAAAGCATAGAAAAAGGAGTTGATGGTCTTCTGCTTAGTAATGCTAAACAACGAAGTCAACATTATGAAATTATGAAAACAGACATAATTTGGGATTGAAATTCCAAGTGACAGCTACATTAATGCTAGAATACTGGCAGGAAAACATGTACTGAGAGCTAGCGAGAGGTATTTACAGAACACAGTTCTGAGGCAAAGAGAAAAGCTAAAGCTAACTCAGACTCCCATTGTATGAGATAGCCCTTCATTAATTATGAACATGACTGAATATGTACATTTCTAAACAAATAAACATGTCTTTGAAGATACATAGCTCATAGATTTGGTTTTCATAAGAAACACTAGGTTTCTGAGCCATAATTTTCATATTCTGAAAGCTTTTGAAAAATGGTAAATCAAAAAAGCAAAAGTTATAAAGTTTCTTGCACATATCTCAATAGAGACTGGATTTTTAAAAAGCTATTTAATATCCATTAGGAGAAACTAAGTTCCCAAAATGCATTTTCAAATATGTTGGAGGATTTTGAAGCGGTTATAACTAGCATTTTAAGCAGTTTGCTTTCAGTATACCACAAATTATACTTTATTTGTTCTTGACAACACTGTAGAAAACAAAGACTAGGTTTTTAAAACTGTCTAACCAATATGATGAATGTCATTCACTTAAAAAAAAACCCACTGTAGCATAAACACATACTGTATACAGCTCTTATTCAGAATTAGAATAATTGAATCAATGACAGTGATTTGCCAGGATGTCAAATCTCTCCATCATATCCTGTCACTACCAGTTTATTTTTTGTGATCAAAATCAAAAAGACAACTATTTTGTCACCTGCTATTTCATTAGTACTAAAAATCAAGTTTTTCTATTTTTTTAGATTGTCTGGTTTATTTTTTTCACTTCTTTTAATTCTAAAGACACAAATTTTCCCATTTTCTTTTTAAAATAAAGTTTCAGAATTGATCTGTCAGTTAAAATTAAAGGGCTTTTTATGTTAACCAAAGGTGCTTTTAAAATTTAAAGCAACTTCAAAAAATCAATTTAGTTCATAGATAATAAATAATGTGCAGATATTCCACAAAAGCTTTACTATGTTCTTTGAAAGCATTCTGAACAATCTGAATAAATTCAAGTAATATTTTAGTCAGGTTCTTATTTTAACAACTCTAACTTTTTTTTTTTTAACTATGTTGTGATTGCATTTTCTACAAACACAGCAGAACAATTACATAGCATTTGACTCTGAAAAGGAAATGTAAGGTCATCAGATATGTAAATTGCTTGTCAAAAATACTTAATAGGTCATTGATTTACTACCATGGCTATCATGTCTATAAAATGAACAGCCAATTACTGGTTAATATATGCTTTGCAAATAAATATATACTACAAAAATTGAATGTGAATATTTGAACTCTTATTTTCAGTATGAACAAAACTCTTCAAACTCAAACTGCATGAGTAAGAATACTGGGCTTTTCAAAAATCAATCTAAGTGCTTTGTTATTCAGATTCATTAGGCAGTCTGTGAAAATCAGCTACTAGGGAAGAATGTATATTTTTGTTTTCCTCTCATAAAAACCCATTCTAAAAATGTGTTTTCCTTCCTCTGCAACATTATGCATTATCATATGCTAATAAGCTTCTACATAAAAAATAAGGTCTTCATTAATACTATTGTAGATATACCTACCACTTTGACATATTATGAAATATACCCTCCATTAAAAGATTTGCCCAATTATCAACTTGTGTCAAAGATATAAATACTTAAGAACAATGCCAAACATAGCATTTGAAATGTCCTCACATCTTTTAAATGTTTCTAAAACTTTAAAGCCCTCTATGGTACTCATTTCTTACGCTAGATTTCCCGTTCTTTAACATGAGATAAATATTTTGACTACTGCATTCCGCTCAGGTGCTAGGGTTCTAAGACCTTCTGAATTTCTTTCTAGTAGCCACCAGACAATTTGCACTTTTCTGCTCTTCTGTTTTTTCTTTATCTCCACCTCCAAGATCTGCAAATATGAACACTAAACAAAATAAAACAACTCAAAAGGAAGCAATCCTGCAGTCAATTCCCTGTCCATCTTTTAATTTTAAAGACTCAGACACACAGGCATACAAAAGGGAAGGGAGGGCTATTCATTTGCTTAAACCCATTGTGAATGTCATCTCTGAAATGTTTGATTACTGCTTTCCAAAGATAGTCACCATCAATGCCATCAAATTTAGGCAACACTACCCCTAAGTACTTACACTTTGAACTTTAAATTTGAACAGTTAAGTCATTCAGGACAGAGGCAAAAACAGATGTGGTTTATTCTTGAGAAACAGAAAAGGAAAGAATATGTGTTTGGCCTTTGGGAGCCAAACATTGTAAAGAGAAAGAAAAAAAAAAATTTTTTTAAGCTTTTTAACATCCAGGCCCAGCACAAAAAAAAATAAACAGAAGACTATAGACACCATCCTGAGATGACAGATATTCACAGAACAGAGCTGAATGTTAAGAATGCTATATAAATAAATCTTAGAAAAACTAGTTATGTTTTTTTAAAAAGTAGAAAGAAATGATTAGTGAGCCAGTTGCTTAGCATTGAAGCATTAGAAGGCACAACTTTGAGGGAAAATTCTTCTAGAAATATTGTAATAAAAAGCATTTTTCACCTAGTAACTTAAATGTCTCCTAAACATTCAGTTCAAGTTCTGTTCACCTGGTCTCCTAAGTCAGTCAAATTTGGAGAGACATCGTAGGTGGTTAGTCTTGCTCTACCGAGGACAACACCTATGGATGGTCTCCATCCTGAGGGCAGTGTCCCTGCAAAGTTCCCATTGATAAATATATAAATATACCTACCTATAAATAAATAATAATAAATTATTTCAACAATGAGTTAAAGGCCACCTCCTGGGCTCTGCTTCCACACAGTGCCTGCCAGGCTGCCCTGGGAGAGAGCCTGGCCCCACTCAGGAGGACAGCTCTCTCCCTAGGGTGAAGGCAGAAAGCAAGCAGCCATCCATCCAGTCGAACCCAAGGGCTTTTGCAGCTGAGCAGACTCAAGCAGGCTGAGCCAGGACTCTTGCAATCCTGACCCTAGAAGACATGTCTCTGCACTAAGTGTGGTCAAACAGACCCTCGGCACTCCCCTCCTCCCAGTCCCAGCTCCTACATCCCCAGGACCCTATCCAGTTGTCTACAGTTTATGCCCTCCACACTCAGAACCATGGGCCAGGGCTGGAGGCCTGAGCCTGGCCCAAATCATAACCAGGAAGAAGTGAGCCCGCCAGCAGCTGTAGCACGCACTTACACACAGCCCTTTGCTCACAGCTCCCTGGGCATATGCCCCGCAGGGAATGCAGGCTTCAAAATGTCAGGAAGTAGAAATAGCTGCATGAGTGACTATCCCAACAACGCCTATGTGAGACACTCCACAGCAGATGGACGTGTGAGGGCACAGCGCAGACTGGCATTGAAGAAAATGATAGACACACACATCAGAACTGCAATGCCGCGAGGAAGGTGTCTCTGCAGTGACCCCGACGGAGTAAAATTAGTAATATATGGCATGCAAGTGATGAATCACAATTATTGGTTCACAAGTAACTCCTTAAGTAGAAAATAGTAGGGGTCGAACTGGATTATTTTTCAAAGCCAATTAATTTCTCTATTTCTGATCATTTGCCTTTGGTGATTGAAAGCAAAACAAATAAAAGAGCAGAGTGCCATTCAGTTCAGTGGAAATTGTGTCGTTGTCCCCAGAGATTTCTGCCCGTGTAAGCATTTCATCTGGACTGCTGGAATGCTCAGCCTTCGACTGAAGTTTGCACAAGAAAAGTTATCTATATTGACTTATATGTTGCACAGAACAGACAGAAAGTGTCAGACAGTTCTTTTTCACCCAACAAAGGCTTATTTTTTTCTATCCTTTGCTTGGGCTCAAGCACTCCTGCCCTGCGTGCCGCCACTTTAAACATGATCAGATCTGTGCTTCATTGCAAATAACAACTGACCAACAATGGGCCCTGCTTCATAGATCTGGGAATGTTTGGCTTAAGCTGCCAATGACTGAAGGCCTTTAACTCCCACTGGCCAGTCACAGTTCGCTTTGTTGTTGTCTGTTGATGTGTCTGTGCTCATTATTCCTTGACATGCAACATCCCCCCTCCACCCTCCAACCATCCACAACCGCACAGAAAGCGAGATTCAAATGGGAACAGCTGTAGTGGTTCAATGGGAAATGATGCCTCTTGTGCAGAGGGGAGGGAGACAGAACAGGGAGAGGGCCTATTTGAGAAAGGCAACAGCTTTCAGAGAGTCTTGTCTAAGAAATCTACTTTTGAATATACTTCAGTGAAATCGCTGTTGAAATAGGCTGACAATGGAAATCTGC